AAGGAATAATTAGTCTCTGTCCCTGAACCACTTTCAGCTTCTGCACCAACTGTGCCCCCAAGACTGGGTAGGTAGACCCCACTGCAAGCCTGCATAGCCTGGGCTGACCAGGGAGGGCCCGGGCTGGTTTATCTCCATGTGAACTAGCCTGGGGAATGTGGGCAAAGCTCTGCTCAGACTGGATTTCACCTGGGTGACATTCTTCCTTCAGAAATCATTCCCCACCCAACCAGTTCCTTGTCTTTGAACAAATCCAAGATTGGAGCTTCGAGGCCTCCCTACTGCCCCTGGGCTAGCTCGTACTGGTCCTGAGATTTGAACTTCCGGTACCCACCCAGGTCTGCAGGGTGCTGGTAAAGCTACAGCTTAGAGGGCATCCCACGGTCTCCAAGGTGGCAGCTCACTGCCACAAAGAATTGACAGTCGGGTTCCTTAGCATGCATGGCCCTTGAGAGTGTAAAACCTTGATGTTAAACGTCCAGGTGGATAGGACCTGGGATTGAAGTATGTGGTTACCAGACTGGACTGGGCTGGAGCACTCGGTGTTATGTGATGTGACTGTTCTGAGCTCTCTGAAACTTAAGATGGCTGATTCCCAGGCTGTCCAGGATGTATGTGGCTGAGAGAGATGAGAAAGAGAACAGGCTAAGGCAGTTCCCTTGGGACAGGTCTTTCCACATGCTTAAGGCAAAGACAGCAGGGCCTTGATCCCACTGCAATCGGGAGCACGGGTGAGGCATGTGCCCAGCTCCCTAAGTGATCCAGGTGAGATTCAGACTGGATGGAGATCCTTCTCTGTGGTGGCCTTTGTTGCTTTTGAACAGGACCAGCAATGGTGGGTGTGGCATCTTTGCTACCCCTTGAACGGGGAGAGATTGAGACCCCCCCCCCCCCGCCAGTGGGCCTTGTAAGTACCTGCAGTTTTCTGGACACTCATCCAAAGCCTTATTGGTAATCTGTGTCCCATTGCTGCTCACTGGGGAGGGACAGGATCCTGTGACATGCTCTGGCCATCAGGAACTTCCAGCTATCTCTCATCCAGTATCCCTACACCCACCCCAGGCAGCACAGGCAGACTGACATCCACCTCAGTCAGTGATGCTGGCTTTAGGCTCATGCTCCTGGCAGCTGATTTAGCCTGAAGAAGCAGAGCACAGGAAGCCATGGCCAGCTCTTTCCCAGCCTCCTGTGTATGTGAGTAAGGGTGATTCGAGCAGGGACCCACTGCTGTCCCCACTGGCAGCATCCATGTCCCTAGGCCCTTTCTACTTGGAGTGCATATCTCTGAGGGTCCCTCACAGGTCCTGAGTCTCTCTACAGAACGGAGACTCTGTGATCACTGGCAACCTCTCTGGGGTGAGGTATAATGTCCACTGATGAGTGGAGAGACTCCCTGAACCTGCCTGCGTCAGGCATGGGTGTGCCCTCTACACACTTCAGAGTTCAAACACAGTCCTTTGGCACCAGACACTGTCATTGTTCCCATCATGCAAATGAGGGCCAACAAAAGTGTCACTTATCCCAAGCCGTACTGCACGTGGGCCTCACACCCGTACAGTTGCACATGAACTCTGAGTCCCAGAATTGCAGAGGCCCAGGACCACAGGGAGTGAGAAAGGGGAGCCCTCCCTTGCAACTGGGCCTCACATCTTCCTCTTCTTGCCCCTCCTCTGACCCACCCAGTGTCCTCCCATGACAGCCTGCAGCTGGCAGGGCTGGGAGCCACCCACGCCCCTCCTGTCCCCTGCTTGTTGACTCTTCTTGCCTGCCACCCCAACCCCCTGGTTATGAGTCACCTCTACCAGGGAGCAGGTGGGGGGGCCACGAGGGTGGCAAACTGGGGGAGGGGAAGGTAATTGGAGTAGGCAGAGAATCTCTGCCTTCTTATCTCTAGAAAAAGGGGCAAGAAATGAGAGTCACTTGCAGAGATTGACTACAAAATGTCACTTAACTTATCCTGTAAGGCCTGCTGCCCTGGCTTCCAAGTGCTGAGTCTCTGGAGCCACACCATGAGTGTTTTTGGGATCAAAAGTGGGCCATCCCTCCTGTCCCCAGCCACCAGCTTGCTACTTCTGCCTCTTGGGCATTTTTGGAGTTAAACAGGTTATCACCTGTAACACTCACAGATGGTGCCTGTCAAGTGGCAGATGCTTCAGAAGGACATGTTACATGCCGTGGCCTAACTGCCAGCACCTTGGGGCAGACCCTGCTCCTGTCATCTGCAAGGTGATGGACACTAGCCCTGTCACTTGTATAGTAGCATAGAATACTTCCATTCTGTTCCCTGAATCCTGAGAGAGTCACACAAGTCTCAACCTGTAGAGGAAATAAATACTCCCTGGGCCCGGAAGGCAGCTTGACTCTTAACTCATAAACTCTCCTACTGATGACAGTAGGGACAATGTGAGCGGTTTGCATTGGCCCCGTTTCTGCAAGTGAGTGATTCAGATGGTCTGGGGTCTTACACTGGTTTTCATGGGGCCATGAGGTGAGGGAGGAGGGAAGCCGTCCCTCTGGGCCCTTGGCTGCTTTGCTTGTGCTTCTGCAGCAGCATTTGCAAGAGGACACAAAATCCTTCAGCATGTAGACACTGCGGGCTGCAGAGGCCAAGCCCTTGTCACAGCCTTGAGCATGGAGGAAAGGCCTTGGCTTTGAGACTGAACTGGGTCACCTGCTCTGCGGGTGCTGAGGAGCACCCGTGTGCAGGAAGTGGGCTGCCGCACCCTGTGTGAGTCACTCCGCATGGGTGTGTGGGCTCTGTTGGAGCTGCTTCATGTCTCAGGTCCCTTGATAGCCTTGACCTTGCTGGTGCCCAGCACTGGGCTCCACACAGGCTGCTGAGCTCAGGGGACACCTGAGGTTTCTTTCTAGCAGAGTAGACAACCTAGCAATTCAGGCTTGCACACGGAGATCATGGCAGAATCACCTAGAAAAGCTTCCAGGCCTCGGCATCCCCGGGGGTGGCATCTCGGGACAGTGCACTATCATTAGAATTCAGGCAGGCGGGTGGATAATTGCAGGCTCTGCTTTAGTAAAAATTTTGAGTAAAATTGTGTTGGGTATTTTTTGTTTTGTTATTTTCTGATAAGTACTTTCATGGGAGTGTGGATGAATGCTGTATTCTATCTGAGGGGTGTTCCTCTGCAAGAAGGAAAAAATAGCACATCTTTTGCCTGAGTTTCCTTAACCAGCCCCCTGGGTTAGCAGGTGTGTAATGTTTATGTGTGCACATGTGTGCCACTGCCAAAGTAAATAAACCAGCTTATATACAGAGCCCTTTTCTTGTTTGGGGGTGCAAATTCTCATCACATTTGAGCTCCTAACACATGGTGAGCCTCAGGAACTATCTCTGAGCTTCCGAATAGAGAGAGACACACGGAATGCTCCCCCACACCCTCATCTCACCCCCAGCTGCGCCTGCTTCTTCAGCTGACACCTCGTAGCAGGGCTTGAGTATATTTTGTAAGAGGGGCCCAGTGCTTGTTGGGGTGGATGATCTCTTTGAAGGAGTAGGGAGGGCAGGGCTTCTGGTGACACAGTGGAGTGAGGCCTGAGTCTGAGGAGGTAGGAAAGCCTCCTGGGTTTGTTCCAAGGACATCTGTTGTAGGCATAGCTCCTTGAATAAAGGTACAAGTGTTTCCACAGTGGTCTGTATCCTAGACCACACTGCCTACCTCAGTCATCTGACCACAGAGAAGACTCAGCCAGCCCTGCCTTCCTGCAGGTGGACAATTTTCCCCAGCACTGGACCAGCCAGAGACCCAAAGACTAGCTTACACACCCCTAAACTACCTTTTTTAATGGGTGCCTGCATTCTGCTTCCTTTTCTGTTGGTCCTAGGGAGTTCCCTTGGTGAAGAAAGCACCCCTCTGAGGTTTGGATTGGCATATTCATTATGGGCTCGCCATTCTGGGAGGGGCTGAGCACTCAGCAAGAGGTAGGGGTTCTAAAGACGCTTCCACTCCTCCCTGTCCACCCCCTCCCAGTCTTGGCAGGGTGGCAGCTGCTGTCCTTAGTGCTGAAAAGCAGGCTTTTCCCCCCCTAACACTCTCTCTCTCTCTCTCTCTCTCTCTCTCTCTCTCTCTCTCTCTCTCACACACACACACACACACACACACACACACACACACACACACACACTCATGCACATCAGCAGCACTAGTTGGGAAGACCGACTGCAGGAGCTGGGTGAGAGCTGCAAGCGTCTTCCTTGCTGCCCTGCATTCTACTGTGGCTGTGGCCAGGTGCAGCCCTCCGTTCTACACAGGGGGCTTTTGGGGGGCGGGGGAGTCTACTGCTATATCTATCAGCTTTTAAAAGCTTCCTGGCACCGTTTTCTTTTAGAAAATAAAAACTCTACCTCGTAAGTTGCTCCATCTTTGGGAGAGCCTTAGGGAAGGATTGCCAGATAAGCAGTCAGGCCTGCTGGCCCTGCCAGGAGATGGTGGGTATTCAGCAAGCAAACAACCGATCAGCCCCTCTGAGAACTCAATGTCCAGATGTGCCATGGCTGGGCAACTTGGAGCCAGATCCCATGTCTGGTGGGTCAAGGAGAAACAGTGACCTCTGGCCTCTGAGGACACATGCTTGCTGACACCTGGCAGACACATTGTTGTACAGACCCCACTACTGCCCAGAAGCGGAATTAGAACAATAATTAAGTCAGTGTACCACTAACAGACTTCCTGTTCTTTGCATTGTTGGAAGCTCTCAGACCAGAGTTACTCTTCTCACTGTTTCCTGTTTGTCTCTGTCCCAGGTGCCAGTTGTTTATGGCCCTAGGTACCCACGGCCTTCTTGCTTGCAGCCAGTCAGGTGTGTGCTGCAGAGGCCAGGCAGTGGGTGGCCTTGTCTTTTTATCAAATCATGCCTGGATAGCCTATGGTTTGGTAGTCTTAGTGCTGCCACACACACACACTCAGGGACCTATCCTGATGTGGCAGCCATGAGTCCCCAGCTGCTCAGACACAAGGTGATATCTTGCCTTTTTCTGTTGCCAGATCACCAGAAACTGGAGAGGGAGGCTCGGATCTGCCGCCTGCTGAAGCATTCCAACATTGGTGAGCACCCAGGGGATAGTAGAGTGGGTGGTTTTGAGAATGCCTACAGAGATATTTAGAACTCAAAACTGGGGACCAGTGAGCTGTCCAAGCTTCACACACGCTGTGAGTGTCCGGAGTCAGGAGACTCAGGCCCTGCCAGGAGGAAGCAGGAGATTCAACAAAAGCCTGTCAGCCCCATCTGCCCATTTGCATAGTTGGGAGCCAAGACAGGATAGTCACAGGGTTCTGGCTCCCCTTCCAAGCCTTGGTCCCCAGAAGGCACAGCTGCTGTGCCAGTCAGGCTCCTTCTGAAAGCCCAGACAAATGTTCAAGGAGCTGCAGGGACCAAGGTTGTGCTGACCTGGAAAGTTGGCTCAGATGTCCCTGGTCACTCAGACCTTCTCTGGCAGCCATGGCAGCTATTACAAGACCCTTGCTGGGCATGTCCCCACAGGAGTGCCTGTCCCTCTAGAACTGAAGGAGAGCCTAGGAGCTCAGCTCTTACCCATGCTGGGGAGGAACTGGAGATACCTTGGGTGTGGCTGCAGATTCAGGGACAACTGACCTCAGGGGCACTGGGATTTTATCAGGCTTCCCTCCAAAGTCTCAGTCTTGCCAGGACACAGTCCAGGAATCTGTTTTAAAGGGATCCCCAGGGACTGGAAGGAATGGGCAGATTGGGAGCCTGGCTTTTGCATCCCTTTCCAGAGCAGGAGCTGAGACAGAGAGGGAAGGCTAATCTGCTTCGGGAATGAAGGCGTTCCTGCCGCTGTCCTGCTCCCAAGTGTTGGAGATCCTCGGCTGGCCACTGGCCCAGGCTGAGAGCCGGATGGGGAGCCTCATGTCTGAGGCTGGACCTCAGCCACCAGTGGATGGACCCTAGTCTCTTAGTTTCAGAGCTCCACCACCTTTTGTTGTTTCTCAAGACAATATCTCACTATGTAGTCTTGGCTGGCCCCGGACTTGCTGGGTAGGCCAGGCTGTCCTTGAACTCATAGAGGACACCTACTCCTGCCTCCCAGGTGCTGGGATTAGAAGTGTGCACTGCTGCACCCAGCATAGGGCTTATCCTCTTGATAGGCAGGTGCCTGGGCCTGCCCTGGAGAGCTGACTTTGGAAGTCTGGATAGGCCCAGGAAACGGGATCTCAACAGTGTTTATAGGACTGGTAGGCCATGCCACTGGGTGCCTGCAGTGGAGTACCAAGAGCCTGACACTTTACCACTGAGCACTGCACCTCTTCTTGGAGATCATGGGAGATGGCACCCCAACTCAGCTCCACCAGTACCTCTAAGCTCTTGCTTACCTACTCCCAACTGGGCAGCAACCAAGAGCTGTAACTCATTCTGCCTGTTTTCATGAACTGCCTTATTTGGGTGAGTGGATGCCCAGATGTGTTTTAGGCTATTTTGTTTAGTTCTTCAATAAGATATCTCACAGTAACCTGATGTGGTTCCCAATGGGTTCCAAGAAGTGGCTTGGGCTCCAGCTTCCTGTGTGGACTCAGGGGAGGGGACCATTAGAAATCCTTGCAGAAGCTTCATTTCAGTCAGGTTAGGACCCAAAACCAGAACATTCCAGAAGACATACCTGAGACTATGAGGCTTCTGTGGAACCCTCTCTAAAGATGCAGGGGCTCTCTGGGGAGGAGATGGGGGTCACTGGAGTCACCCCTAGCCTGCCCTTACTCCGCTCACCTCAGCCCCACTTCTACACAGAACTCTGTCCACAGGCCACCCTGGGACCATTAGCAAGTGCTGGGGGACAGGTGGGGAGGTAGCTCTGGGTGGGAGTTCAATCCAGAAGCAGCGTCTGGCAGACTGAGGAGAGGAGGGACCCTTATCTCCCCCCTGATAGTGGGGATGCTTCTGCCTGTCTCTCGGGGACCTGGTAGGATGAGTGGAGGTGACTCACAAAATAAAAAGTTCCCCCTAGGGGAATCAGCATCAACTACAAAGTTCCTTCTTTTCAGAGGCCTGAGCCAAGTCCTGCTTACATGCCCAGAGCAGACTTTACTGGTGGGAAACACAAGTATCCCCACTTCGTAGAGTGGTTTCACAAGTATGGTATTCATCTGTGCTGCAAGACAAACAACCTCAAAGTCTTCACCAACCAACCTGGGTCATCTGTGCTCACTGGAGCAACTGAGCTGGCTGGCAGGCCCTTACGGAGCTTGTGGGACCCTCTACAAAGTGCTGATGTGCACCCCTGTTTAAAAGTTATTAAGAATTTCACATCATGCCGGGCGGTGGTGGTGCACACCTTTAATCCCAGCACTTGGGAGGCAGAGGCAGGCGGATTTCTGAGTTTGAAGCCAGCCTGGTCTACAGAGTGAGTTCCAGGACAGCCAGGACTACTCAGAGAAACCCTGTCTCAGAAAGAAAAAAAAAAAAGAATTTCACATCAGGGCTGGAGGGATTGCTCAGTGCTCAAGAGCACTTGCTCCTCTGCAGAGGACCTGAGTTGGATTCCCAACACCCATGTAACAGTGCATAACCACCTAATAACTCCAGTTCCAGGTGGATCCATTGCCCTTTTCTGGCCTCTGTGAGCACTAGGTAAATACTTGGCATACATAGATACATGCAGGCAAAGCACTCAGAAAGAAATTTTTAAAAGATTTCAAAGCAGCAGCAGGAGCAGAGTCCTCTTGAACTGTCCAGGCTCCTCCCCAACTGCAGGCCTAACACACTGGTCTTGCCTAGGGCAATGGCAAATACAGCCTGGGCTGCATCTATCCAGTGTTTGACTGGAGCCTTGGAATTAATTTCCGAGATGACTCCTTCTATGATCTCAGTTCCTCTCCATAAGTTTCTCCCCAGAGCCATGTAAGCGTCGTTGTGAATGGCAACAGGGTCCTCCAAAGCCAGTGATGACAAAGAGATAGATAGATGATAGATAGATAGATAGATAGATAGATAGATAGATAGATAGATAGACAGACAGACAGACAGATAGATAGAACACTTTAGTTAGTGTCCATTGCTGTGAGATAATCAACAAGTAAGGAGAAATAAGTCTTAGCTCATTGTTACAGAGATGTCAGTCCAGGGACTGGAGAAGTGGCTTAGAGGGTAAAGTGCTTACCTATCAAAGGAGCCCGAGGCTCAGATTCCCATCACCCATGTAAATGCCAAGCAAGCATGGTGCCAGCCTGCAAGCCCAGTGCTCAGGAGGTAGGTACAGGCCATGCCCAGAGCAAGCTCGCTGGCTGAAGCAGTGTGTTCTGGGTTCAAGTGAGAACTCATGAATAAGGCTGAGAGTAATTGAGGAAGATGCCCAATGTCAACCTCTGACCTCCACATGCACCCACACACATACATGTGCACCCACACGTGTGAACATGCATACTCGCACGGACAAAGTCCATACCCATGCACACACATGCAAAATAAGTACCAGTCTATGATTTCTTGGCCTGATTGCTTTGGGCTTTTGGTAGGAGCAAATGTTGGAGAAGACCTGTTCACCTCACACTTAGCAGCTGGGGAGCAGAGGAAGAGAGGATGGGGGTCCCTACTAATCTAACTTCTTTTCACCAGGCCTCACCCCTTAAATAATCCATCTCTCAGTAGTGCCATATGCTGGAATCAAGCCTTTGACATGTGGTCCTTTGTGAGACATTTTCTAACATAACATGCAGAGACAAAACAGAGAAATAGAGACAAGTATGAGAAACAGAGATGGAGACAGAGAAAGAGAGAAAAGGAAGGACATATTGCCTTTCAAAGTTATGGTAAAGAAATACATGACAGTGTCCCCGTGTAGACGCACAGTTCTATGACGTTGAC